TCTTTGCGTGATCGTTTGAAAAGGGAATCAGAAAAATCTAGAAACAATGACATTCTGAATAAAGTCCTTCTGATAGAATTCCATGTTTAGACAATATGATTAGGAGAATGAGAGAAGAGATTACACATCAAAAGTGTTGTTTTTTTGTGTGTTTTTTGTAAATGTAGTTTCAATACACAAATTATGAAAAGAGACATTTTAAATGATTAACGTTCAGTTCAAAACTACATTTAACTGGTTTCCAGAAAGAGTAAATATTTTCTCAATAATAATTATCTTGTAAATAGCCGTAACGAGGTCTGTTTGGTAGATATCACTGTCAAAGTGTGATATTTTGGACCTGTACTTCGGAGCCATCAGAATTCTAACGTCATTACAAAGTTGATAATATATTCGCTGCGCACATGATTCGATGTTTATCCTTGCGGGGATCATTAAATGCGTAAATGTCTTTCATTCAAGGAGATCAAGAAAGGCAATTAAATTTTGGTGTTCTATGATATTAAGAGATGATCAATTGGTTTATTATCATGTGTCATTTCTTTTTGTACCTCAATTTTTGCTAGAGTAAAATAAGAAAGCATACAGCTCTTAGGCAAAGCGAGATGCAAGGACGAGGGAAGGATCGTGGCTGGTTCGTATCCTGTTTGTATTATTGCGACACTCTCCAGGTAATAATGAGAGAAACCACCAAAAAATACCTACCGAGGCAAAGACCGCTAACATTTTCAAGTCAGTGGCCGAATTCGAACTAGCTATGTACCTAGCGTCCAAAATCTACCACTTTCACCTGCCACATTCCGGTCAATGAAGCTGCGGCACAACGGTGTTGCCGCTGAGCTACCGGAGCCGTTTTCTTCGCTTAAACACACATTTTGAAGATACAAATATGACCACGAAATTATTATTCCAATAATATCATAACATAAATAAAACGGAAATAGCAAAACGATGGAGTTAGGAAGGTGTGAAAATAGGTGCCGCAAAAGTGAAACTAAGAGATAGATGAGGTGTTCAAACTTGAATAACGGACTCTGAATTATTGCTAGAGAGAGATCAGGGAAAGGGAGAGGGATAGGGATATGGAGGGGGAGAGGGATAGGGAGAGGGAGAGAGAATTATTCTGAAAGAGAGAGAGAATATGAGTGTGCATTAGCGAGAGAGGGGGGCAATGAGTGTGTATGGGTATGGGTATGTGTGTGTGTGTGTGTGTGTGTGTGTGTGTGTGAGAGAGAGAGAGAGAGAGAGAGAGTAAGAGCTTTTTCACAGAGTGAAGCATTACATCGTGGTCCATGTGAACCCTTTTTTATTTTAACCTGTGTGCATCCAGAAAGTCTACGGCAGAGCTAGATAGCATAGATTCTGCATCAGAATTAACGGATGTAGTCAAGCAGCTGATATCGTCTACGTCACTCTCCCAAAACTCCCAATTTCGCTCCCGCCCTTGACGACATATTGAGGAAAGGCTCCCGGGAAGAGAGCCAGCGGGAGGCGGGGAAGGGCGTACCTCTCTGACGAGGATTCAGGGGGGGGGAATTCAATATCACATACCACTAATGGAATACTCTCCTACCCCTATGTAACGGAGCGTAGCGCTGCCTTTGCACCCTCTTTCGCGCTACGTAATTTGTGGGCGGCCCGCAAACGCCTCGCAGATCCGCTCAATTCCTGCACCATAGTTGATACGTTCGTTTTGCCAGCGGGGGGGGGGGTACCTCTCCTATGAGGATCCAGGGCAGCAGGCGGATGCCGCTGTGCGACAGGAAGGCGGACGCGAGCAGCAGCGTGAGGGGCAGCCAGGCGTGCGGGTGGGCGCCGGCGGCGTCGGCGTCGGCGCCCGAGTGGATGTAGGCGTAGGTGGCGACCGCCGTGAAGCACGCGCCGCAGCCCAGCGTGGACACGAAGGTGAGCGGCCGCTTGCCCGCCCAGTGCACCAGAATCACGCACACCAGCGTGCCCGCCAGCTCCGCCAGCCCCAGGTACAGCGTCGCCACGTACTTGTCGATGGGCGCGCCCAGCGTCGTGAAGATGCTCACCTGCGCAGAACACCACCGTCGTCAGCACACGCACCCCTCGCGGAAACGACGCTTGTACAAATGGAAGGTCAGTGTACGAATTAGCTCTTCACTGAATATCACAACCTTCTACTAAGAGCTAATAAGCAGAAAATAAACACTTAATACAACATTGCATTAAACATTAGTAATAATATTACATTTTTAAATAAATTTTAAAGTATCTGGAAATTTGAAATGTTACTAATGTTAAGGGTTTTGTAATTTTAGTTTTTTCACTTTCTGTTTCCATATTTCGATGATACTATTTTATAGATAACATGAAAATAATGTATTCGATATAAATAAAAATGCATGGCAAAGAGGGGAGAAATCTGGTTAGATAGTCCTAGGCAAGCACAATTAAATGCTTTCCGTTTAATTTTATCGTCTTGGAAAGCTGGAAAATATAGCAGTTATGAAACTAATTGCAACAATTGAAAATAAATTTAATACTATTAATCAATTAGATCATGTGAAAATAGTACATTTATTTAGAAGATTGATGTTTACGAAATTGATTTTTTTTTTGGTAATTAGACTTGAATAATTCGATTTTTATTGCTGCTCCTTAGAAACAATGTAAATCAACTTGAATGATACTGTCTATTAATATTAAAAAGATTGTTTTCACGTATTTAACTTTATTCAGACTGGCCTACTAAACCGCATTATCTACTATAGTGTAGATTTTCCCGACCGTGCAATGAATCTGACTCACTTGTGGAATCATCAACAGCAGTATCAGCGTAAGAACATCACCTTGCGAAACACCTTACAAAATACAACGGAGGAAGCATTAACTAGATCAGGGATAATGTTATCTGTGGGCCTGCGGATGAAACCCTCTAACTTTTTTATCCGAAGCTGACAGAAAAACAATATGAAATCATAAATGAAAAAGAACAAATCGAAAACGTTCTGCTCTTTCTTAAAATTTAAAACATACTTTATTGGAAGTGTACAAAATCTTTCCACTTCAAAATTTCGCCGTTATGAAAGAGCGTATGTACAGAGAGAAAATTTCTTGAGGGAAAAAGTTTTTCCTTATTTGCTGCCATCAGGAAGCCCAGTGCTGACGAGGAAATAACCCCCGAACGAGGGAGAGCAACAAAAATCGAACACGAGAATGGAATATCCGCCAACCGCGTGCCGTATTTATGCAATTGATGGTCACGTGCACATGTAATGGCACGTTGGACGCGTGGCCCGGAGAAAGCGGGGGAAAGTCTTCTATGGAAAATGTTCCACGAGATGCAGATTTGACCGCAAGATGTCTCAAGCACCGTCGCCCGTCGCATCGGCGCAATAAACAAACGCGACCGCCTGGGCCAAACGGATGTTTTCACCGAAAGAAGAACAAATAGGGGGAAATGGGACTGTACCTAACGAGATACTAGCGTCTTTAGGACCTATTTTTCTTTCCTCACATCCTTAGGTTGTCAGTGTTTTCTTCATTGAAGAAGATTACGAAGGTTATGATTCTTTTACCAGAGTATATGATCTGCGTGAGATCAAAAAAGGAATAGTTGAGGGTGTTTTGCCTGACAATGATCGGTTTCAGTTGACTTCTTTACGCCAGCAATGCACTCACTTTCATTGTACTGACATGAAACTTTTTGAATATTATTTTGAAGTAATGTAAAGATCTAATGTACTAATTAAAAAACATTCAGAAGAATACACAGGTCATTATACCGATGCAATTTGATATAGTGAAAGTATAGTTACTACAGTAGGTATTCTCCAACATTCTTGAAAAATAATTGTATAATTCTAAGAGTAATTGCTTTTGAGCATGACGACAACTAAATATGTTAGCTTCGAGTTCTATAATTATAATACTAATTGTTTCAATTACACATCTCAGAATGTATTCATGATTTTTAAAGACAAATAATATTGGTAAATACAATTACTGCATTTGTTAGAAAACTCAAGTTCAGTATTGAAACTGCGGTAAAGATAGTGGAAACTGTAGAAGTGAAACGTAAGCAGGTACCTCTTTCCATGAATAGTTGCATTTTTCACTCGAGTGCAATTATATACTTGCACTTATTTGCAGGCGTAGTAATCAGTGTTCGTGCAACCAGAGTGCACGCGAACCCTAAGATGTAATTGGGCGTCCACAATCATTTGAAATTAAGGAAGCCTTGATCCATTAACCGTTCACAAACTCCACAATTTTTGTTATGTTGGAAACATTCTACTTTTAAATTGCACTTATCACATTATCCACGCCGCTCAGGCTAATAGCCTTCATTTTCACATTTGACGGGTGGACAGAAATTACACGTCAGTACCAAGTGGTGTTAAATATTTTCACGAATGCACGATTCTGCAATCATGTTGTCCTAAATTTGCAAACATTTTACAAGGAACATTCTACAAGTGAAATTGAAGGAAGAGGGAGAAATCACAGCAGAATGAAGAGGAAAGAGAAAACCGAAATGGCTGTGAAGGACGCCAAGGAATTTGCTCAAGAGACTCGGTCTTCCTCCTGTAAGAACTTTCAATTTACGTTTTTATCAAGAAATATGAAACAAACCATCAACTAACCGAATTATTGAGTTCATGAGTTCTTAATTTAGTCGTGTTCATCGCATACACAATAACAAAAGACAAATCGTTGATATACCTCTTCTTCCGAAGTTTGTAGTAGATTGCCACACGATTTGTAGGGCGAACAATGTCGATGCCAGTAAGATGCCGACTGATTGTCGAATACTACTCAACCTTAGTAAAATGATGCTACTGTATTTCGCTGCCAGTTTCAAAAAAAGGCGGCCAAAGAAACTTTTTTCAAAAAGAAGTAGAAAAAAGAAGTACAGGAGAGAAAAATTGGGGGGGGGGAGGAGTAAAATGAGTATGAGTAATGTATTTATCAGATAGCACATTTAAATCCGAAAGATATCTCGGGGCGAAGAATTTTCAAGAACATTCCAATTAGTCACCTTCAAAGATCAAACTCGTATTTATAATCAATTCTGTTCAGTTGAACACACTAAAGCAATTTATTCTTAACACTCTGAGTTAATATGAAGAGAGTAGGCAGGCGATGCCTTTGCGTATCACTAGTTAGTTAAGTTGTTGGTGTTTCACAGGAGTAAATCACAGTGCACTTTTTATAATCATCCCAGAACCACACTAGTCCGTTATACAAGAAGCCAAAGGATAACGACGGATTCGTAAGTTTGGGATTTCATGAGAAAAACAATATAATTTTTCTCAAAACATACAACGTAATTTAGTGTTATTCATAATAATATTGATTTTAAAAAATAGTTCAGCTCTATTATTTAATGATTATTCCAATTGCAAAACATGTACCAATACGGTATACTAATTTTATGTCTAAATGAATCGGAAACGAATGATCACGTGGTTTCATCGAAAGGATATCACCGATTCCCTATTATTACTTGGTTGTAGATAAAATGTTTTTGTATTGAATTTAGATGTTACACAGTAGAAATGTTTGAACATTAAACAACATTAATGTTCAATGATCATATAATTGTCCTAAGTAATACCACTATTTCTTTGAAAATGTCGATGAATTGACAACACTTGAAGCGACAAGGGAATTTATCTGAAAATTACCAAAGCATAAGTAATATTTACTGAGACTATTTCACGAAAAACAAATTATGAATAGAAGAAGAAGCAGCAGAAGTAGAAACGACAAGAAGGGGGAGAGAAGAAGGGAAATGACGGGAAGAGGGACGAGAAAGAGAAGACGAAAATGAAGGATGGGGAGAAAAGGAAGAACGTTCATGAAAGTCAGCAATATTGTATAAGGTATCTTTGCAAATAAAATAGCGGTGATAATTAACACTTCTTGGAAGTAGTAATGAAAATGTTACAAATTTGAATGGACAAGTCGTTACTGATTGATTTGTATGGCCCGAATTATCCACACCTTTGGCCGAAATTTCGAGAAAGGCCTTCCCACAGGTGGTTCACAATTAGACACACAATCGCGTACTCGGTAAGGGACCGCCCATAAATTACGTAACGCAAATTGGGAGTATTTTGAATTACCCCTCTCCCCCCCCCGTAACGCACAATTGAACCCTCATTATAACACTGCGACAACCCCATCCCTTATGTAAATGCAAAATGTGAAAAAAATATACTTCAGTAAAAAAAGAGTATACATTTCATTAATTCAGCAACAAGGTCTCGTAACTTAAAATAATGTTGTTTTAAAACTAATTGGATAATATTTTCACGTTTTGTGTGCCAAAAAGGAATTATTTCAACAAATGTTATTTTTTTTTTTAATTTCACTGTTATCTAACACTGATGGAACACCTATGTAACGCAGCGTAAAGGTACTTGAAACGCCGTCGCCCGTCTTTAGCGTTACGTAATTTGTGGGCGGCCCCATAGCACTGCATTCGTGTACCGCACCGAGTAGGTCTGCAGCGTGGTCATGCCGGAGAAGTGGCCGACGAAGAAGGAGACGGCGACGAGCAGGTAGGGCTGCAGGAAGGTGCGGCGGGTGTAGGGCCGCCACCAGGCCTCGCCGCGCGTCGCCGCCGCCTCCTGCTTGTCGCCGCCGCCGCCCCCCATCTGCAGCTGCTTGTGCTTCTCCTGCAGCGAGTCCTGCAGCTGCTGCAGCTCCTCCGCCACCGCCGCCGGCTGCACCCAGCCGCGCAGCCAGCACAGCGAGCGCTCCGCCTCCCGCACGCGCCCCTTCGCTGCGGGCATTCCGTTAGGCCGTTGGCACCCGCCCAGGGCTCGCACTCATCTGCTCTCTCATTTGGAGCATCAGCCCTTAAATACCTTGCTAAGAATCATATTTAAATTAGAAAAAATATTAATACAAAATAACATTTATTGGAATAAGTGTAATCACACGCCGTCTCTTTGTTTCAATTGTTCTTAACGGATGGCGGACTGTCAAAACCTCAACGGCCACCAGCCGATAAGTATCTTTACGTTCCTCTTCTTGCTATAAGCCGATGCAACAATACAATTTAATGATAAAATTAAACTACTGTCATGAACTACTGCCCTGTCATATCAAATCGCAGTTCAAATTTAAAACTATTTAAAACTTCAGAGAGGACGAACTGATGAATAAAATGAAAAGTATCCTCCCTTTTGTAGTACAGACTGAACAACATATTCCTGGTAAAGTGTTCTTTTTCAGTGTACTTGATTTGAATTCCTCGATCTGAACCGTTCAAAGTATGGAAATGATAAATGAGATGCGTTATGCCGGAGGCGGATACAGAAAGTATTTGAAAGAACGGGACAATTTCAGTTCGAAGTATTTTTTAGTACTCTTCGAACTGAGCTGAAAATACAGATTTGGGTGTTATTTGGAAAAAAGTAAACAATAATAATAAATAAATTAAATAACAAAACACCTGTTGGCTTTGGACATATTCCGCCTGGATCCGCCATTGCATCGCACTCTCTAGGGGGTACAATCTCCGCCATCCGTCAGCCTACTTGTACCTCGTGGAAAGGTTACAGTTTTGTACGCCTTATATGGTAATGGAACGCTTTCAAGGATGGAGATTGGGAGGGAGCGTGGAGCGCCGGACTCACAGACGAGCCAGTAGGGGCTCTCGGGCACGAAGAACAGCGAGAGGGCGGCGATGGCCGGGAAGCAGGCGTTGACGGCGGCCACCGTGCGCCACGGCAGGAAGTTGCCCAGCAGGAACTGCACGAACACGCCCAGGATGACGCACATGGACGACGTGGCCGACAGCATCCCGCGCAGGTGCGGCTGCGTGATCTCCGCCACGTACGTCAGCACCTGCGCCACCACGCACCAACAACAACAACCATTATTATTACTATAATTCCAACAGCGGTTATCGAGATCGCTAAAGCGAGATTCTACGTGGCTTCCGATGGTAGAATACCAATTTGATCATGACTTGTTTGACTTCTCCATTCACCTTCCAAATTCATCCTTGTGCAGAAAGCGTAACTTATAATATTCACTTCCAACCGTTTAAATACCATTGTAAAATTGTTTCGTATCCCCAGAATATTCTCTTGCACTAGCCGTGTGTGATAAGGAAAACGAATGGGTTTTGGCCCCGTCGAGGGAATCGCTATCACAAGGTGAAGAGGAGGAAGTCCATGTAATATTCATTATAATTTAACACGTGCTTTTGGTCTGCATATTTGTTTGATAATTTCTACCTAAATGTGAATAAAAATCAATAATGATTCAATAACGTCAATAAATGGTAGAAATTGCATTTGAAACGCGAAGCTACTTTCTTGGCCCTAGAGAAGAATGGACCCAGTGCCTGTCTAGACGTAAATGAAGAACGAGGAAAATTATGGTATTTAAGGATAAATTGCGAGCCGTTTTAGTGCTATCTGCAGTTGAAAATTGCTTAGCCTAAAGCATTCGATTAGCTGACCGTTGATAAGTGTTTGTGAATAAAAGTAATAAAATAACATTTTACAATTAAAATTTTAAAATTGCATTTAAATTTCGAATGCTCGCATTTCCTTGCGCCATAACAAAAGGAAAATTTCCTGCTTCATCTGTTTCAGACCTGAACTATCGCCCGTTGAGGGCCCGTCGGTTCGTATTTCTATAGTGGTCATAAAAATGTATTTATGTATATAGCAAAATTACATAACAGATGAAAACTGTATGTTGTATACCTTAAGTGCTCTTGTATCTAATCCATCACACAGTAATCCCATGTACCGGGAAATAAATATAATTATAAGAAAGTAATCAATAAGAAAATATCCATATTTTCGGCCTCGCATCTTCTTAGCGTTGATGTTAAAGAAGACTCCAGGGAAGGGTGGAAAACCGAATGAGAATTCAAATATATTTGCTCACATTGTTGGTAAACGTATGATTAATTCTAACTTCCTGTATCCATATTCTAACGTGAGATTTGTGTGATATGAAATCTATTGTTGGAGAGGAGTTGTCTTATTTGTCATATTTCCCAAATCGGGGCTTTTACATTTTACGCAATCGTGTATATGACTCAACATGAGTATGCGGATCTCAGCCGTTTAATAATAACCTTGTGAATCCATGTGGCAAACCACAGTATCCTGAAACGCTGGAAACATTGAAGAGTCGCAACAGTATGATTAATGGCAAAGCAGGTGGATATGTTGTGGGATTCTCCTCGCCATTATTAGGCAAAACGATGTCACATCCACGATGAAAATGCAAACGTACACGTGAAGACATATAAAACCTATTTCAACATATTCATTTATGTACCGTTCACAATGACTATTAATGTAAATGTGAAAGCAGGCTCTTACAAGTTGCATTTACTCTCTATACATTATTGCCATCACAAAAAACTAAAAGTAATTCAAGGGTTCACTAGCAAGTTGTCTCCAACGATACGTGAAAAGTTGCTTTTTTATCTTTGCAGATTGTTGTAAAGCACAAATGAAATATAGTGAACGAGTAAAAATACTTCAATTCATGATGGTAATCTAAAATAAATCTAATGCACCTTATTCCTTATATCTACAAGTAAAATCTGATTTGGTTATATAAATTCAACGCGCGAGCTCCTTCCTGGAGGCCAAGTGCCCGTCCTCCCAGTGATCAGCGCCGTAATACTACAAATGGGAGGAGGAAGCTGCGCACCGCAACGCGCAGCCAATGGCCATTCGGCGACCACACGACGCTCACGTCTGAGGGGCCAAGCTCGGCATTATCATTCTATCATTAAAGTCGTTTACACAGCATTGATTTACGATAGATTATTTGACTTATTGGCTTCTAGGAGTTATCGTTTCATAAATGAATTGAGGAAAATGTTAGTTTTGGTGCTGCGTGACACTCTTGTGTCATGGCGAATTTGTTCATCTGAAACCTACTAAAATTTGCCCACCCAATTGAGAATCATCTACACTTTGTATCATAATGGGCGCAACCTTCAATTGCTTCAGCTCGTTTCTACTTTGGTGACTGCTATTAAATTTTTCCTTGATCAACAGCGCTCCATGCACACCAGGCTCCAACAACGCTACAACGAGGCGGAGCGTTATAAAAATTACTATTGTGAAATGCTCTAAAACTTTTACTTTTCTAAACTTAGACGGTTTTAAAAGCTCAACTGATCTTCGCTTTTAAAACATTCAAAAAATAACATTTCCGCTTCGGTAACTATAACATTACACTCTCTCACACATCGCACGACCGACTTCCATTGCTTGTATCTCTGGAAAAAACTAGTGGGGCTACAAACTCCCGAATTAGTTTTCTGTTTACTTTGGTGTCGGTTGGTGTGGTAGCTATTCAGACTTGTCACACACTCTTGCCAGCTACCATCTATCGCTGCTCAAAGACATTTTTTTTTTTAATTTTCTTAATTTTTCGGTTTCCTTATAGTAGAACGGAAATATCATTTAAAGAATATTAATCAAGAGTAAAACCTAGTCCAAAATAAGAATTTTCTTTGAAAAATTTGGAGCCGTTTTTAGAAAAATGGCGTTTAATGACTGCTCTAAATTCGAAATTTGAAGCTCTTTTTCACAGAAAATTTTTGAGTTTTCGAAAACCTTTATTAGAAGTCATTTAAAGCACATTAACTCACAAATATAATATATTACAAATTGCTGGACATGTGCACAATAACGGCGAGAGAGATATTTCAAAGAAATTACATTCATAAACTTATACAACTTTAAAAAAAGAATACTCCGAAATGAACTTTACCTCATATTAAAGAGTGCAATCAGCGCTATCCGTTCGAAAAGTTTAAAGAAAAAAAATTGGAGCCGTTTTCGAGAAAATGGCGTTTGAGCGTTTTGAAAATGCGGAAGTTCGAGCTAGCTTTCACAGAAAATGGTTGAGATTTCGTGAAACTATCTGACATTATTTAAAGCACATTTTCTCATAAATATAATAATCTGAACAAATTGCCGCTAATATTATCGACGTTAGAGACAAGTAAAAAATCCAACTTTGCAATTTAAAAAAACAACGGTAGGGGTGTTTATATCATCTTATAGAGAACATTTAGCAATATCCCTACCAAAAATTTAAGAAAACATCTGGTTCCGTTTTTGAGAAAATCGTGTTTTTGTATTTTTTTAAATAGCACATAATCTACGCAATATTACGCGAGACTACTAAAATTTTCAAAAAGGTGTACACGACCTTCATGAAAGAACTTACAATGGAGAACAAGTTGTATTTGAAGGAAAAATCTCTCTCTTTAATTTTGTAGTTGTAGGAAGACACCGTAGAAAACTCATACTTTCGAAATTTTCGAAAATTGAGAGTTACGCGTGAAAATCGGACCTATGGCACGTTTATAATTGTATGTTACTTTATTCTTACACGAAATTTAAAGAAAAAAATTGGAGCAAATTTTCGAGACAATTTTGAAAATGTCCGGAGGGCTTCATGTAAAGTAGCTCGAAATTTTGAGGAAGACTTTTCAAAATCTTAAAGTTTCGACTCGAGCCAGATGAACAGGGGTTTCCTTAATTTGAAACAAAACCTAAGCATGGTTAAGGCGCCAGACGTGTTCACAGACACCAGACGGACAAACGGACGGACAAACGGACGGACAAACGGACGGACAAACGGACGGACAGACGTACTTTTTGGAAGAAAAAATCTTTTTCGGTATCAGGGGACCCCAAAATGTGCATTTCCGTTGAAATCTCAAAATCGTCTTTCCCCAGCATTACATAACTTTCCCAATATTACATACGTATATCCGTACGTATACGGAAAAATAGAAACGAAATGACGAACAAATGACTTCAGATAAGCGTTCTTACTATTAATTTTAAGATAATAGTAATATTTTGTGTTGTTACTTTAAAATGTGTAAGTACGAGCAACGGGTGACGCTTCTAGAGTGACTATCTTTCATTTAAAGAAACAAGTGATGCTACAGCAGTAGATACTTTCTAGCATTATTTGTAACGGCTATGCAAAATTCTTATACTCCCTGAACCTGCAGAAGTGTTTCCAACCGGCAAAAATGGTTCCCCCTTTGGAATTCGAACTCAGATTCATAGAGTTAAGATCACATTCAAGTTTTAGCGAGCGTCGGAATTAAATCAACCTTCTCGTCGCTTAAAAATTTTTTGAACATTTGCATTAGCAATTTTCAAAATTCAGGAAGTTTTATTTATATTATTACGAGAAGTAGTTTCAAAGAAGAAATGAAAATAAGAAAATAATCAATATTTTATTTTTTCTTCTGTAGATTTTTTTTGTTTGCAATTTTCGAAAATACAGAGCGTTCGCCGAAAAAGGGACGTATACCAAATTTTTAAGCGTCATTTTCTCTATCCAACGAAAAACTTTAGAGCAAAAATTTAAAGCCAATTGCGATTTTTTTACAAATTGCATTAACTACAAGCAATAATTATTCAAAAACTACTCGTTTTTTTAAAAAAAATTACTTAAAGATGTAATTTAGTAGAACATATTACATTAACGAAAAATATACATCATTAATATTGTACGTTTGCAATGTTATTTTTTTGTACTTTTCGATAATAGAAATTTCGATGAAAATGGAACTTGTTCCCTTTTTAACGTCTTATATCCAAGGAAAAAATTAAAGAAGGTACTTGAAGACGATTTTTAGATAATAATTGTTTAAAACTTGCTTACATTTCATGCAAAATTACATTCGAAAAATTGCACATCGGCATATTTAAAGATCTGACTTGGAAAACAGATTTCATTCAGGAACAATTTCTACAATCAATATTGTAGTTATAGGAAGCATTTCTGACAAGTATTACATTACTTTCTCTTGAATACGTACGTAGTAAAACAGAAAGTAACAATCATGAAATTTGGTAGAATAGAAAACTCAAAAGTTTTTGGGGTCCTCCATAAATTACGCAACGCTAAAGAAGAGGTAGTGGGCTTGAGTAAGAGTTAAGTTACGCTGTGTTACATAGGGGTAGGGGGGACATAGTTTAGTCACGTAAAGGTGATATTTATTTTAAAATCTTTCAACATTTCCTGAAATAATTCATTTTATTCAGTCTCATACTAAAATATTAAGAAATTAAATTAAAAATATAATACATTAAAGAAATGTATAAATCGTTACAAAAATGGAAATATTTTTCAATGATTAAATATTTTATACTACGAAGAAAAAATATTCAAAACTGATCTATAAAATGTTCTAGAATTCAGTTCAGTTGGCGCAGTACACTCGGAGCCCGTGCGTTATCACGAGCATGTGCATTGCGTGCCAGGAAGTTTCTCGCACACGCGTCCTTTTCTCATTCAAAAATTGTCGCCAATCTTATTGCTATGCGCAGTCCGCATCACAAACTAATTCTCCTTTAATAATCATACTTCTTAATCTATAAGATAAATACAGTTAATGCAACTCGTTTCTGCTTTATCATTGAATTTTACTTGCTGTAATTGGGGGGGGGGGGTCTGGTCGCAAGCGCAATGTAATTTTTAGAGGACGGTTCCAACGCGCGTTGCAGGTGTGTTGCAGGGGGTGGGGGTGGATGGGGTATTCAAAGTACTCGAAATTTGCTGTAGGTAATTTGTGGCGGGGCACCCACCGGCGCCTCCATGAGCCCGCCGGCCAGCCCGACGAGCACGAGCGCCAGGTAGAGCTCGGCGAGCGACGACGCGAAGTGGAAGACGAGCCAGGCGGCGATAAACGGCAGGTTGATGAACTGCATGGAGCGCTTGCGGCCGATGGGCTGCGTGAGCGGGCCCGATGCCAGGCAGCCCACGGGCACGCAGATGAGGTTGATGCTGCCTGCGACAGAGCGCGCGCCCGCGCCGTTTCAGCAGCCGCCGCGCCGCGCCGCACCGCACAGCGCTCGCCCACCCGCTGTCGTTCAAACGCGTGGGCGGCACAATGGCAAAGCATGTATGGGCGAAAAACAGATCGGAATAAGTGGCTTTTTATAAACCCTGAGAAACATGTTGGTTTGTTGGTTTTAAATTCAATATTACTGTAAAGTCGTGGTGGTTTGTTTCATCATTATCCTCACAGCATTTCAGTTGTTCATTAAAACCACGAAATTACATTGCAACTAAAATATAGTCAAAAATAAAAACATTTTTCTCAGAACGTATAAAATGTCATTTATAACGTTTTAGTTTTCACCCATTTATACCGGCAGTTCAGGAACATTGTAACAACCAAATGTTCATTAACTCGAACTTCATCAGTATCTATTCTTCCATTTGTTTACAGTATTCTTTGACAGCTGTTACGATGTCATCTAATCGGGAGTATTCTTTGTCACTACTACAGGTGTCATCCCAGACCTTGATTAGATGACACCGTAACAGCTGATTTATGTCAACAGACCCTATGTTCAAATCAAGGTATAGATATGAAGTTTTAACTTTTTTCATTCAAAGATAAGATAATGAATAAGAGACTAAGTATAAATTTTGTTTTAAAATATAGTTATATAGGATAGAAATGCTAACAACGGCGTGAGCCTAGAGCAATTCTTTACTGTAAATCTCGGCTAAAAATAAGATCAAAATTTAATACAGAATTACGCCATGCATTCTAAATTCAGCTCACAAAAATGTACGTGACATTTTACAAACTACAATTGCTTCTTTCCAATTTAAAAAATTACAATGTTACGTATTGCATTCAAAGGCAACCTGTCACTCACAATCGAGGTACATCGTATGAATAACGTATGTTGTACGCAATAACGTTGCATCATTGCAATCGTGCCTAAAAATCAAAGATGCGAGTCACAGCACACCGCGCATCAGCCAATATGCGCGTAAGAAATATATTGCATTCGATCTCCATCCAACATTTTTGCCTCAGTACGTTCTTTTCTGCTACGTAAAATTGTTTTACGTTAATAAATAAGCAATTTTTCTGGACTCTCATTAGGGAGGAATCAGTCCCCGATTCTTATACATCTTCTAAGAAACTTGCACAGCATTTTAACAATTACACTAAATGCGTAGTTCATTGAATGTTGTTCTACTGTTTGGAAGCTGCATTTCTTACGTTAATAAGTGGAACTCCAGGAGTCTCAACCACACAAAATGAACCACTTATTTTCAAAAAATGGCGTCACCGTTGTACGTTACTAGCTGACACTTCAACACCTTCAAATACTTTGCTTCTAATCAAGACAAAAGACGAATAAAAACGTAGGCGGTCATGGAAGCGCGATGCTGACAATTAGCGAGAAGATTTCCCGGTCCCACGCCGGTGCAC